CACTACTGCTGTAATTAAAAAAAAACTTCAAACTTTCAAACAAAGAAAGCGACTGACTTTGAGCGTTTTGACAGCAACTGTCGTGTTATACTTCTTCCAGATAGCTTCATACACATCACCATACTGTCCTCCTCCAAGTTTGTGCTTCATAACAATATCCGTTCTGTCAACTTCCCACTCATCTGGTTCCGGGCTAAGAGCAAACACAGCAGGCTTGTTCCTCTTGGGAGCTGGATAAAGCAAGAGGGTTATCAATCCATCAGCACGCACGGAATGGTGGTGGACAAGTTCAGCCAAGGTGTTGAATCGACATTCGGATGTCACATACACCTGAAGAAAGCAAGTGATTATTTGTTGAAATTTTTTAAAGATTAAAGCACAAATAAAAGTAGCTATGCACTACAGTTGGAGTTTGAAGTGAGCCTGAGTGCAAAATAATATACACACCTAAACATGTGAAACTATGTAATACAGAGGAAAAGTTGGGAAACAAACCACCCAAGTGTTTGTGTGTGGGCCTTCATAAGTTTTTTTCCCCGCCATCTAACCTCCACCCACACCTTGGTATAAGTAATTGTTGACGCATCTTCAAAGTTTTTTTTTTACAAGTAAACTCATGAAGAACTATTTTTGTGTGTTTAAGGTACCGAGTTTATCTTGAAATATCAAATAAGTTTCTATAAAAGAAGTGTTTATAGAAAATAACAAGTAGTAAAAGTGATAAACTAATATTTAAGTCTCATTTACATAGCAAGGGTTCATTATGCTTTTAATCAAAATTAAAATCTAGATACTGTGGACAGATCCACCACCACCCCCCTCTGGAAAAAATTTGTTAAGTGTGCCACTACAAAAATACATCTGGTTTTATACGTGCATATAGCTTACCTTGCCTTCCCTGTCTTCATTAATTCGATAATGATACACTCGTCCATCATATCTTAGAGATATCGATCTCTGGCCTGATATGCTTTCACTTTCTCTAACCAAAAAACTCCCGTTGATACCACTGCTGAGCAAATATTCAGCTGCATTTCTAAAAATAGGTCCATGATACCAGGAGTGTTTTTCCAAACTATTAGCAGGGGTTATGTAGTTACTGGGTACCCAGCCAACTTGACCTAACCTGGACTGTGCCTCACACCACTCTCTTGTCCTGTTATACGACAGCACTCGAACTTGGTCTCCTCGTTATTAGAGAAACAATAATAACGGGGTTATATATATATATATATATTCTTCAACACCCCCACAAACTTATGTTACTATGTAAAAGGTTTAAGAACTCAACTCTGTTCTTAAGTTATCGAACAACTTAACACTCACTGAATAATTAGTTTTCCGTTTCTAATTATTCAGATCAAAAGAAAAAAAACAAAGTTAAATACTTCTTCTATAAATTAACTGATCATTAAGTTATTCGCTATATGAGCCTAGGAGAAAGGTTATGTGACACATGAAAGTTTCACCAGCCAGACTTAACTATCGTGACCGTAAAAAACCTGTTACTGATAATTTTAGTGAATCAATTTTCAGGCAACCCAATCTTCCAAATCTAATCTTAACATTATTATAATATTTCACCACCTTTCTTAACTGATCATTAAGTTATTTGCTATATGAGCCTAGGAGAAAGGTTATGTGACACACGAAAGTTTCACCAGCCAGACTTAACTATCGTGACTGTAAAAAACCTGTTATTGATAATTTTAGTGAATCAATTTTGAGGCAACGAAATCTTCCAAATTTAATCTTAACATTATTATAATATTTCACCACCTTTCTTCAGAGACAACTGATTATCTCCACCAGATTGAAAATCATAGAGTGCTACAAATAACAAGGGATCAGAGTCCTCCGGAGCCAGGAGATTTTCTTTGGATATCCACTGGGATGATTCTTCGTTGGATATGGATATGTTGCTCAGGTGATCTCCAAAGTCGGGGATTTCTGGCAAGGGCCTACTCTGCATGAGGGCTTCTGGAACCCAATAATAAACATGTCAAACAGATTATCATAGAGCAAGTATTCTTCAAGTAACAACTACATCTAATGATTTTCTTATAGATTTTATGTGAAGTAATAAAAGTTACATCAGAACTTAATTATCATTCATTAAAAATTTACTTTCTTTAACCTAGTTTTACTGAGTGTACAAGATGATAGTAAACACTTAATAAGCAATGTTAGAGAACTGGTAAAACAATTTTATCTAACCAGTAAGAATATAATACATTTGTACCCAGTGCTGGTAGATGGCCTGGTTCTTGAAGAAAATGTTTCCTGAAATATTGTTACTCAAAACAGGTCATGGCAAATGTTATTTCACTTATAGTATGGCTGTTTTAATTGTTGTTAGTTAAACATTTTCATTTTGGCATTAGAGTTACCCATAAAAATGAAACGAATCTCGTTTTCACACATCCATACGTTGCCCTTCCAAAACAAAAACTAACTACTTTTCATGCTGAAACTGTAAAATAAATAAACAAAATCATGGAACCCTGAAGTATCTTTACGGGAGCCACATGTTTGAATAATATTCTCAGATGTAAGTAAATAGAGTTTGAAAAAAACCCATAGGAACATCTGCAGCCAGATCTGCAGTTAATCTTTACCCAGTTTCCAGACACATCTCACAGCTAGTTTAACAGGACATTACTGATTCTTTGAGGGTTACCTCCGCTCATCCCTTATCTTCTTACGTAACCCGATCGTACACAAATCAAAATGTAAAAAAATACACATGTAAGTTTTCTCTAGAGTATGTAAGTGGAAGAGAAAGTTAGAAAACATTATTTGATATTTGTTTAATATCTAATTTCCATGATCAAAATAAGATAACTCAATCTAATGAAAAAAATAATATGTCGAAACACAGAACAGCATGACAAAAATTTTAAATCCCGATAATCAAACAGTACAAGTTTTGACAATTTTTTCAGCTGTAACCCAATATTTCACTCAAGGCACTCAAAGAAGCACCAACAATAAGATCAAAGAAGGAAAGTAGTGTGTAAGGTGAGGCCCTGAAAGGGAAGACAAATAGGGGAGTAGGTAAAGATAAAGAGGTACGCACAGGCCTGGTTGAGAAAATTGACAGCCAGAGCTGAAGAATGAGGAATAGCAAACCATATGAGAGAAAGCCCAGAGATGAGAAGGGTGGCAAAAGCATCCAAGAGTGGAGTGTCCAACCAAAAAAAAAAAAACCCCAAGAAAGACTGGGGGCTGTAGAGGCAGTCCGCCACCAAAACTGGAGCTACTCACAAATGATGTGAACAGGCTCAGAAGTGTATGGCTAACATCAAACAACAAAAGGCCTAGAACAGAAGCCTCAAGGATGGTTGGAGCAAGGAAATACCATGGAATAGACTAAGTGGTACATAACCAAATGAACCACCTTTAGAGGCAAGAATAGGAACATGCCTGACAAAGAGTGAGAAGCCCGAGTACGCTTATGTGGAGTGAACTCTTATACAGTGTCTAAACATCTGAAGTCTTGCCCTCATTGAAAAAAGTATTTCAATCAAAGAGATAAGCATCAAAGAAGGAAGATATATAGATGGAGAGGGAGTAAGGGAATGCAAGAAGTAATATGGTCACATTCCAGGCACTGTGCAAATCCTTGAGGAGAGGTTCATAAAAGAAAACAAAGGACCACAAGAAAAAAACAGGAGGTCCACTGTAGGAGACATATGAGGGCATGCCCAAAAGCAATGAGGGGGTTTTAGGGAAGCTAGTCTCTCTAAAACTGAAATAATTTCTCAAACAGGAAGAGAATGAAAGTGTAAAACCTGGTGACCAGATATGCCATAGCTTGAAGGCAAAGATGATAGGTTGAAATGAGAGAGTGAGTGTGAGAAAAGGCTTAGATCTCAATACAAGTCCCTTCCACAACTGAATAGTCATCTTAACATAAGGAAGTTAGAAGAAGGGGAAACATCTAAGAATGGGCTAACAGATAATGAAATAGGTTGATAATGAAAAGGAACGTCAGAATCAGGTCATGAAGATGGCGAGTGAAGACCCTACAAAAAAAACTATAAATACAAGAGGGGCCGATGGCGAGTTGAATGGAAGAAGAATGGGAAGATGCAAAAAGGATGAACAGAATAGAGAAAACAAAGGGAGGACAGGCTGAGAAAAGTCTGAGGAGCAGTGACCATGGCCGACTACAGATCAGGTGAAAAGGAGCAGAGACAGGGTTGTAGGGAAGAAAATAGGAAGTTGGAAGAGAAGTGAGGAAACAGAACAGATAAATATTTTGTTTCTCAAGTGATATTAACTACTTTAGTTGTAAATGTGTGAGATGCATATTTACACACACACACACACATTATATACATATATAAAGGATCCTCTCCTCTAAAGCATCATGATGAAACATATTTCTATGTTATATCTGTTAATGAACTACTAATTAAAATAAGTGCTTAACTGCAATAGGTGACTTTAAGCTTCATATTAAATCTAATTATAACATAATGTTTTGATTGTGACAATAAGTAATATATATATATAGACACACACACACACAGGTGGAACTGGTTTTCTACAAAACAAAATTGTTTCTTGTGAGCTTGTACCATACTGAACTTGTGTATTGACATAAAACATTCATACACACTGTATAGATATATAGGCTTATACCTGTGTTCAGTCTTTGCTTCCTTATTATAGTTTGTGCTGGAAAATGTGCAGAGAAAAGTCAAATCAGAATAACAGTTTTAATACTTGGTTTTAGAAATTGAGGTTATGATGAGAGTCTTAAAATATTTTGATGTTTTATCTAGAGATTACTCCATTTTGATGGTTAAAAATTATGAGGAACTTGTACACATTTCTCATGGGAACTATGCTTGAACAGTTCAGTTATATGACTGGAAGTAAGGACTTGCATATCAGGGCCTTTGGGGGTAATAAATAAAAGCTTTGGAAATCCAAATCTTGAAATGTCCTAAGGCAAATATACAACTTTACACACTATAAAATATACAGGAGGGCTTCACTGAGGATGTGATGTGTGCTTTTTTGTTTATAAACTTTGTTAACTCTTTAGGCATGTACTTTTTTTTTTCCAGTCATATCATGCTCAAAATCGTCATCAGATAATTAAAGTTCAGAACCAGAATCATTGACAGCTTTCACAAGTTCAGCTGTCTCTTCAAGTGTGAAAACACTGGAGGGATTTGATGCCATTTTAAGTCTGTTTTCTCATAAAAATTAAACAATTTTCAACTGCAAATATTACTGATGTTTTGAATAGCAACATATATCATGTTGGATACAAATTTTTGGTTGAGATTGTCATTTGTGCAAATTAAGCTTTATCTATTGATTTTGTGTGCTTGATTCACATTTCTAGTGGGAAATTCAAACTGCATTATGTGGTCGCCACATGGGGACAGTCACATACCTAAAGGGTTAAACTTCTGATGGTTAAGTAAAAAGATATTGAGAGGTTCCACTTAGTTACTTCACTGGTTGTTTATCATAGCAACCGGTTGACCTCGATCTACTGAACATCTTTATTTGTTCATAAACACCTTTTTAAATTAATTAATTTATTTATTTGTAAGCAGGAGTATCTATGCTTAAATCCACTTCAGAAAGTTTAATTCAAACTAAATACAGACCTGGGCCTTAACAATTTAACTATCTACAAAGCTAGTGAATAATGCTGCAGAAACAGTTTGATACACTAGTATTAAATTTCCCATATCACTTCAAGTGTGATAATATAAAATTTTTTTTTCAGAGTCAAATTATATGCATATTGATTAAGAAAGCCACAAAATACAATTTTGTAGTAGTAGTAATATTAATAATTATACTTGTAAAGTTAACATAACACGTCGACAACAAAAGAGCCATTTGCTCATTCAAGGTTGTCCATATACATTCAGCCTTAAGAAGTGGTAAAAACTTAAACCCACCCATTATTTTTTAGGAAATTATCAATTTTCCCTTTTGAACTATTGTGAAATGTTGTTCTCCACTATTGCTCACTGCAACTCATTCTATAAGCAAATAACCTTGTTATGTTAGAAAAAATTTAAATATCTTCTCACCCTATTTTCTTTTGAATATAACACCAAGAAATCAGAAGCTTTTATCCTATTGACTCCTCAGATAAGTTTGTAAACTTCAATAAGATCACCTTCTACTCCTTTTTTTCCTCAAGAGAAAATTAGAGATCTATACCTATAAGAAAACTATTCCATTTCTTGTAAGAACCCTTCCAAATAAGTTATCCATTCTGTACACAGTATTCCTAAATAATGACTTGCAGAGATAACTACTACTTTTGACTTGTAATCAATATGTCTTAAATGCACTCTTTAAAATTTTTTTACATTCACTACTGTCAACACAGCACCATCTTGATTGGCTTCAGTTACTTATCCATCACTATCCCAAGATACTTTTCTTCAATCCTGCTACTGAGTAGGTTCTTGTGTATATTAAACATGTTATCCAAATTATGATACCTCAAATACATTACATTGTATTAATCTAATGGAAGGATACTTGTCATAGATATGGCCATTAATCAATCGACTGAAGTCATTCTGAGTACTTCAACACCCTCAATACGGCTAGAAATATCCAGGAGTTTAATGTCATTCACAAACTTTACTAATTATGTTCTTATCAATATCCTTAACGTAAGTAGAAAAAGAAAAGTCTCAGATACCAACTCTTTAGGCAATCTGTCAGTTATAAGGGTCCAGTTTGGTTGGACTTCATGAACAACTTACTACTCGCTTCTCAACCCCCTACTAATGTAATTTTCTTACCTATTCTTCTGTGTGGTACATTATCAAAAGGTTTTTGTAAAATCTGAGGTTCCTATGTTCCCCACCTTTCCATTATCCCCAGCCTTGACAAAAGTTAACAGATTAATAAGGCAAGATTTTCCTTTAATGAAGCCACGCCAATTTGATTTTATATCATATTTTAATAGACAATTTTGCAAAACTTTTTTTATCAGACTATCCAGAATTATTTCTAGTAAAAGAGTATGACAAAATGGAATATAATCTCCAGGGCACAAAAAAAAAAAAAATGAAAGAAAGAGGTTTAAATATTTTATTTTTGACCTCCTTTAACTAGTTTAAGGCCCTGTGGAAAACAAGACTGTCCAATCCTGGTGCTTTACTTTTAACGTCAAGGGATTAATATTTATATGATTCACATCAATCCTAATCTTTCGACTAGAATACTCAGGGCCAGGAATATAATTAATGTCCTCACTTGAAAACCAGAAATAAATGTTCAAAAGTTTAAAGTATCTACAACAAAAATTGTTGCATCCTTTAGTCCCATTTTAACATTTTTTCTTACTTTTAACATACTTAAAAAAATCCTTGTTGTTATTTTGAACTATTGTCATTCAAATGTTCCTCATAAGGTCTTGCAGAATAAACTTGTAACGAATTTACAGGAACGTATCTGGGACTAAGTTTCATGAATAAAATGAAATGATACAAAGTTTTAATTAATAGGCCTTAAAGTTAATATAACATATTACAAGTTAACTGTATTAGTTAACTGTCTGATTTGTCAAGGCTTCTGATAAGAATTTAAATAGAGAATAATGAAACAAAACAAGGGAAGTTAATGTTTCTTCATACTTGCCATTATGTTCAGTGAATACATTTCCTGATATTGAAGATAATCTGGAATCCTTGGACCTATTTTTGTAGCATTTACCAGACTTTCCACCATGACTACTACCAACAGAGGACCCTCTTCCACGGTTTTCCTTGCCCTGCTGAGCTCCCATACTATAACTTATAAGTATAATTTATAAAGTATAGCCTAACTTTTAGGCTTGTTGCGACTTTTCTCTCGTGCTCGTAGTCAAATTTCAACTATTACTTCATGATAACTTGCATTATTTCACTCCTAAGCAGCATAATAGTTTATCACATAAAATCTACAAGGTTATTAATAAATAAAAATATTAATAATTTAATCACTAACCGCTCCATCACCCGTCATGATAAAAATCCTGAAAACACTATTAATAATCATCACCCTCAAACTAAGACCTAGACGACGTTTTATAGAGGTCGCAACAATTATTGTTTTTTTTTAATAATCTGACTTATAAAACATAACATAATCCATGGGCAATAAGGAATAAGGTTCTTCAATGTTGTTTTGGCACACCCACCATTTTCAAGAAATCATTGATTCTACCCTAACCTAAACACCTGTGTAAAGTATTGGTTTCCACTACAGATGTCAGTAGCTCATTCCATAGTTACCCACCATGTTAGAAAAATAAAACTGTCTTAATTGGACCATAATCCGTCTTTTCCAAAATTGTAAACTTATGTACTCTCGTGTTATTATCTTCAGAGCATAGCACAAAATCAAAAACTTTAACAGGGTTTCCAACTTTTAGTTAGGAATCTGTTTGAGTGACACTTTTGAAAAAGTAAAAGTTTTAGCGTATGGTAAAGTGCTTTGAGCGCCGAATGCAGTCGTTTTCTAGGGGAAAAGGCCTGGGGACATGGTCCCTCAGAAAATATTTTTTATCTTACTTGATGCTGAATTTGACATGTATTCAGCCAGTCAAACAATTAAAATGCATTATAGAAAGCTACTTATTTGATCAAAACATGACATTTCTTACTCATGCTTGTGAGCATAAGAATAGGCCCAGATTTGTAAATGTGGGTAGTTCTTCGTTAATTCTATCATTCCCCTAGATAATTTTGTAAACTTAAATAAGATCCCCTCTTAACACCCTTCTTTTCTCAAGAGTGAGAGAGAGAAAAGAGATTTTAACATATCATTGTAAGATAATAATATTTTCCTTCCTGGAATCATCCTAATTAATAAACGTTTTTTCGAATAAATAAATATCATTTTCTAGATAAAATTGTTTGGTCTGAATTTCGCGAAAAGCTACACGAGGGCTATCTGCGCTAGCCGTCCCTAATTTAGCAGTGTTAAACAAGAGGGAAGACAGCTAGTCATCACCACCCACCGCGAACTCTTGGGCTACTCTTTCACCTACGAATAGTGGGATTGACCGTCGCATTATAACGCCCCCACGGCTGAAAGGGCCAGCATGTTTCGTGATACGGGGATTCGAATCCACGACCTTCAGATTGCGAGTCAAGCGCCCTAACCACCTGGCCATATTCTTAGGTAAGATTTATTTTGTTTCTTGTTTCTTCTGTCATCCTACTAACGTAGATACAATATTAAATCACACATCTTTGTAATTAAGCACAAAGCTACACAATGGGCTATCTATGCTCTGCCCACCACTGGTATCGAAACCCGGATTCTAGCGTTGTAAGTCAGACATACCGCTGTGCCACGGGGGGGTTCTTAGGTAAGAAGACCACTACTTACACTATCCCCTATATATAACATATTAGCATACTTCTATCAGGATTTTGGAAAAGACTAGCACATAAATATGTAACCTTAACATAACGTCTAGATTTGTTTCCACCCCTGGAATGCAAATTAAACACATGTTAAGAAAATTATATAACGAAACCATCTCATCAGGAAACATTTATAAAATAAAGTGTAACAACTGCTCAGCCTTTTACATGGGTGAAACAGGACATAACTCGAACATCAGATAAAAACACCAAAATCCCCCATTCTCAAGTAGAAGAACATATTGTTGCGTCAGCGAGGTCACGTGACTAGTATCACGCCACCTGTTTTCTAGAAATATCCTGTTCCTT